TGGCCCAGCTGCTTTCACGGCTAAGGCAGGACTAGAACTCCCAGTCTCCTGGTGATTGGCCCAAAGTCACCCATTTGGCTTTCATAGATAAGGCAGGACTAGAACTCCCAGTCTCCTGGTGATTGGCCCACGGTCACCCAGCTGGCTTTCACGGATAAGGTGGGACTAGAACTCCCAGTCTCCTGGTGATTGGCCCAAGGTCACCCAGCTGGCTTTCAGGGCTAAGGCGGGACTAGAACTCCCAGTCTCCTGGTGATTGGCCCAAAGTCACCCAGCTGGGTGTTATGGCTAAAGCAAGACTTGAACTCACAGCCTCGTGCTTTCTAGCCTGGTGCCTTCGCTGGCTCTATATTTTCAGACGTTTACATAAAATGTAAAATTATCTAAACAAAAAGTAAGTGAATATCCACTCATGCCAAGCGAACATAATATCTGCTTTGCTTTCTCTGTCTTAACATCTTTCTGCCAGTTACCAATTTATTGCGGGGGTTTTACAATTCGAAATAACTGTACTTTATTCAGCGATAAGAATCTTGCACTGATGCCTAGCCCTAGGAGAGCAATGGGTTTCTGCATTTTCATTTACTCAAAATTCGTTCGTTTTTCTTCACTGGTAATCGCGGGACCATCATAGCAAGTGTATGCACATTTTCATTCCCCTGCACCCATCTTGCAGCAACATCGCCAGAAACCCAATTGCGTTTGCACCTAATATCCTTATATAAACAATGTCCTATTATTGCTTCCCCCCCCAACTTTAATTTCCCATCAATATTCAAGAAAACACTATTATTTATGATTTCCAAGTACTTTATGTTTATTTGACCAAAGGTTTCCCTTATCCCAACTTCTCCCTTTTTCCCTTTTCATACCAAAGTCTAATAGTCTAATTACACATCTTACCTATTTAATTATAATGTTACTCTATTTTCTGAAAGTTATCTATTTTCCGCCATATTCAACCATCTAATTAGTAATATAATATCCCCTCTAATAAACCAAAGCCATTATTTTCTTCAGCCTTACTCTGGCTTTCTTCCTTTGCCAGTTAACCTTCCATGTCAGTGCCTTTGAATCATCAAATAGTTCTCCCTCTATTTATATATATATTATTTGGAATAAGAAAGACCATTTGGTTGAATTTTTTGGGGGGAAGAACGAGCCCATTGGTATTCATTAAATCGCCTCTCTATTACTCCAATTTCCCACGATTGTCCTGATAGGTTTATCTTCCATTCAGTCTGTTCTTCCTTTTCCTAAAATTTATTCTGATTTCTTAATTTGTAAAAAGTCTTTTCTTTTATAAAAAGGATGCAAAATTCTATCTAAATATACTCTACAGGGCCAATCTGGTCAAGTCACCGCAAGAGGAGTGAGCAGATTTGCTGGAAAAACTGGAGGAAAAGCAGCTAAATGTAATTACGGACCCTTTTTCATTTAGTAGTAAGATTCAACTCTGCCTGTTTTTTTTCCTTAACAACACGCACTAGTTCTTTGTGACGTATGAACAGCTGAAGAAATTGGATTTCTGACAGCCTGAAACTTGAAGAGGCCAGTTCTTCCGTCGGTGATCTTGACCCTCAAGTGCTCTTTCCGGTATTCAAGCGTGCAGAATTGATGAAATTAAAGTGTTGGTGCAAAGAACGTTGACGTTCTCAAGCATTACAGAACAGCGTGTAACTTGAAATTGGAAAAGATCGTAGCATTGGTCCCGAATTTCATCTTTCATAAATATGACGAACATTTCACTATTGACATGTCTGAATGGGGAGCAAGTGAACAATAGTTAGGGGCGGGTCTTCGGTCAGTTTTTGTTTATTTAAAAACAGGCTCTTTCCAACAGCCACTGGTTAATGAGTTCACAACCTTGACAATCTGTATTTTATACCAAAGGCACGACTTTTACGAAGCATCCTGTCGTACGGAACAGCATTGCATAAATAATGTGCAAAACCTTATTTGCAAAATAATGTTGAAAATCCTTTTTTCTCTTGGAAACCCCTCAGTGGCGTTTTTTTTTTCTTTTAGAAAAAAAAATGAGCAGGACATTAATGCCGAATTAAATTCATTGCTGTGAGGTTTCAGCGGTGTCTTTAATATTTTGCCCCTATCTAACGATTTGAGTAGACCTAATCTTATATATTTTTTTATTTTGAAAAGACTCAGTTGTGGGCAATAGATGAACTCTTCCACAAATACTACTTGACTGGGCTTTTCTGGGAAAGAGTTTTATCGCTGCTCTTCATGTTTGGGCCAATAATAATACAAAACATTGCAAGCAATGTTGACATTATGAAGACTCATTCATAAATGACAAGTTATTACAGGTACATTGTGTGCCTGAATAAACCTATTTTTGTCTTCTACTTCCCTGGACTGTGTTCAGAGAATCCAATAGCAAGCACAGATAATTCTTAGTGGTTGTTACAGAGAGTACACAAAGTCCTCACTTCCCAAAGACGGTGCTTTATGTATAAGCAAGTCTTTCTTCCCCAAAATATTGAGAAATAGGATTGTCATGGTTATGGGCCTACGTGGGACCACTGCTTTGGGAAAGCTTCTACCTGTCTTGATTTCACCGATGGATAACACAGAGTTGTTCCAAACAAATAGGAATTTTATGTATATTTTCATTTCAGCATTAAAAATAGTTTTCATACAGGATCGTAAAGTTTGAGCAGGCAGCGATAGTTTGAAATTGCTCCATTTTGCTCCAAGAGACTTTTTGTCAGGAGAAGAAACTGGAGAATCAACTTGAGACGTCAAACCAGGCCACCTTAACAATATATATATATATATATATATATATATATATATATATATATATATATATATATATATGCGGGTGTTTGTATGTAGGTCTTTGGTTAATCGGGTTTTCTCCCGCGTAAAATTGGCAGTGTCTTGGGAAGACACAGCCAATTTTACGCGGGAGAAAACCCGATTAACCAAAGACCTACATAAATATATTTATTTATATATGACACACAAAGGACAGTGTTGTGTCTTTTTGGAAAACTGTATACTGACCAGGTCAAACTTACTAAAAGCAAAGTTCAATAATGTGTTGGTTACGTTACGTTTTTAGATTCTGTTTCCAGAGAGCATCCTTGTAGGATATGAATGTAATAATAGTTTGTAAGTAGAAACAAAGATTTAACTATTTATATGGAAGCGGTTGAAATTGTTTGTAAACTCCAGCAATTCAGAGTTTTAAGGAATGTTGGTTTTCTATGCAGTGTTGAAAGTGCACAGTGTCTTCCATGATAGGATTGTAAAGGTTAAAGTGACCGATTATGGTCACTTTATTAGAAGTTATGTGCGCAAACGGGTACAATATTTTTCGTCTGAATTGCAAAACGAGTCGAGGTTTTAAATCCACGCGGAGGGTCCATGGATTTTGAATTCGAAGGTTCAGACCAATTTTTAAATGGTTCAAATGCTTTCCATCAATTGTTCCACAGAATACACGGCGGCAAAACTAGAACAATTTTTTTTTTAAAAAAAAATAATAATTAGAAAACAAGCTAGTTTTATTGTTAATAAGTCTATGCTGAATTCATGTTCCATCTTCAAGGGCACAAACAGCTTGAACGGAGTTACGTGTTCTTCATTTTTGTTTGACCAGCAAAGAAAAAAGTGTCACATGTTTTTTATTAATAATAGATATGCAGTAGATGTCTGATGCAAGCCACATGTGTTACTTAGCCCTCCTTCTGTAGAAAACGTCCTTGGTCCTTCCGTACCAAAATGTAATCTGTCTTTTTCAAAAATATCTGATTTTTCTATGGTGTATGCAGTAGGTTCAGCTCTACTGTTCCCACCTATATCAGAAGGAATGGTTTAGTACAGGGGTCTTCCAGCTTGGCCCTTTTATGACTTGTGGACTTCAACTCCCAGAATTCCTCAGCCAGGCACGCGTGCCTGACTGAGGAATTCTGGGAGTTGAAGTCCACAAGTCATAAAAGGGCCAAGTTGGAAGACCCCTGGTTTAGTACAAGGCTATCCATCCTTGGCAACTTTAAGACTTGTGCTGGCTGGGGAATTCTGGGAGTTGAAGTCCACAAGTCATAAAAGGGCCAAGTTGGAAGACCCCTGGTTTAGTACAAGGCTACCCATCCTTGGCAACTTTAAGACTTGTGCTGGCTGGGGAATTCTGGCAGTTGAAGTCCACAGGTCTTAAAGAAGTTGCCAAGATTGGACAGCCAAGGTTTAGTAGTGTATTGGACTGGATGAACCTTGCAATAAATGTCCAAGGGATCGTGTGAGTGTCACCTGGCAGTTCATCCTGGGCTCAACGTTCCAGCCAGCTTCAAACCGTTGTGTGTTTAGCAACGTCCTTCATGCAGAAGTTGCCACACACCCATCCGAAGAACCAAGACGATCTAAGATTCAGAACATAGGGAATGTAAAGTATGGAAACCTCTTCTGGAAATCAGGCCAAAATATTAAATTCTGAGTTATCAAGTACTCTAGACGTTTGGTTTTATAAACAACGCAAGCTAGCGGTTCAGAACTGTTTCTCCGAATTACATTTGGGAGATTTGTGCCTGAAAGGGACTGTTGTGTTCCATGAAACCACATTCTTGCTTAATTAAAATGTTAATTCCTTCTCTCCCTGCTCCATCGAATTGTTAGAAGGCCGTATTAAAACGAAAGCAGTTGGTTCAATGCCACATTTCTCCCCCCCCCCTCAAAATTGTTAATACGTCCACGACAGCTATTATTCCGCTAATGCCCATTTTAAATGTTTTATTTGCCAGACCGTTAATAGTTGTTGCGGTGGTGCTATTTATTTGTGCACATTCTGCACTGTTTTGTTAATAAGCTTTCGTTGTTTTGAAGGTTTGGACTTTTATTTCAGTAAGAAGATCATCTAAATGTTTTTTTTTTTAAGATCATACAGACGAACATTGAAATGGCTGGAGTGAGTATGTTTGTTAATGCCTTCCTATCCGAGGGAATGTTTGACTTGGATGTACCTTTGTTTGCAAAAAATAAACCTCATTATTTTGTTTTACTTAACGTTGTTTGTCAGATTCATTTGCTGAGAAATATTTTTTGCGCATGCAACCAGACACAAAACATTAACAGAATAACAAGAGTTGGAAGGGACCTTGGAGGTCTTCTAGTCCAACCCCCTGCTCAGGCAGGAAACCCTTACAAAATCATAGAATAACAGTTTTGGAAGGGACCTTGGAGGTCTTCTAGTCCAACCCCATGCTCAGGCAGGAAATCCTTACAAAATCATAGAATAACAGTTTTGGAAGGGACCTTGGAGGTCTTCTAGTCCAACCCCCTGCTCAGGCAGGAAACCCTATAGTACCATTTCAGACAAATATTTGTCCAATCTCTTCCTAAAAACCTCCAGTGATGGAGCACCTACAACCTCTGGAGACAATTCTTGGAACAAATGTAGAATAATATATATATATATATTTGCAGTGATTAACATTTATTGTAGTGATTATTCTTCAGGGATCTCTTAGTTGTCTAGAGGAATTTTGGGGTTGATCTTGGGCCAGTCACTTCTGGACTTCAGGATGGTGCTGTGAATAAAATGGTAGTGCTCTCACTTGTACTACCTAGAACTCTCTAAGGCCGTGTTTCTCAGCTTTGGGCAACTTTAAGAGAGGTGACTTCAACTCCCAGAATTCCCCAGCCAGCTATGCTACCTGTGTGAGCTGTGCTGGCGCAGTGGTTAGAATCTGCCCACCGCCAGGAGTTCGATCCTGACCTCAAGGTTGACTCAGCCTTCTGTCCTTCCAAGGTCGGTAAAATGAGGACCCAGATAGTTGGGGGCCATCATCACTATGTAAACCACTTAGGGCTGAAAAGCACTGTGAAGTGGTATATACAGTAACTCTTGTGCTATTACCTTTCCTTCCTTCCTTCCTTCCTTCCTTCCTTCCTTCCTTCCTTCCTTCCCTCCCTCCCTCCCTCCCTCCCTCCTTTCTTCCTGCCTCCTTCCTTTTCTCTTCTTCCTTTCCTTCATTCCTTCGTTCCTCCCTCCCTCCTTTCTTCCTGTGTCCTTCTCTCTTCTTCCTCCCTCTCCTTCCTCTCTCTCCTTCTTCTTTTCTTCTTTCCTTCCTTCTTCCCTCCCTCCCTTCTTTCTTCCTGCCTCCTTCCTTCTCTTCTCCCTCCCTCTCCTTCCTCTCCTTCTTCTTTTCTTCCTTCCTTCTTCCCTCCCTCCCTTCTTTTTTCCTGCCTCTTTCCTCTCTTTTTCCTCCCTCTCCTTCCTTCCTCCCTCCCTCCCTGCTAGAATGCCTTATTGCAGGCTAATTCTGCTACCTGCCAATTCTTCCATTCTGACCGGCTCAGAGTTGACTCAGCCTTCTGTCCTTCCATGGTCAGTAAAATGAGGACCCAGATTGTTGGGGGCAATATATGCTGACTCTGTAAACCGCTTAGAGAGGGCTGTAAAGCAGGGAAGCAGTATATAAGTCTAAGGGCTATTGCTAGTGCTATTTCAGGCCTCCACACCTGGCATCTAGCCCCGAAACCTAAAAACACGAGAGAAACACCTGGGCTGCCTTTTCTAGCAATCTATATAAATAAAAATGTAAATGTTCGTTTGTTCAAAATCTTAAATCTCTGAAAGTTCTTCACCAATTGCTTTGAAATTTTGACACAACGTTGCATTCGAATACGCGCGTGTTTCTATATATCTACTATTATATAGATATCACACCTGTGACAGGTAAAAACATGCTTTTTTAAAAAAACCAGCGCCATCTGTTCGCATTCCTATGATTCCAGTGGATATGCCATTTCACTTTAAGAGATTGCAATTCCCAATTCGATTGGCGTTTGCAATCACCATCAACAAAGCTCAGGGCCAATCTTTAGAATTGTGCGGTTTAGATCTAGACACGGATTGCTTCTCACATGGACAATTATATGTTGCATGTTCTAGAGTCGGCAAACCAGACAATCTCTATTGTCCCAATCTCTCAGGGGTTGCCATAAAGAAGAGGGAGTCAAGCTATTTTCCAAAGCGCCTGGAGGCAGGACAAGAAGCAACGGGTGGAAACTAACCAAGGAGAGAAGCAACCTGGAACTAAGGAGAAACTTCCTGACAGTGAGGACAATTAACCAGTGGAACCACCTGCCTCCAGAAGCGGTGAATGCTCCAACACTGGAAGTTTTTAAGAAGAGACTGGACAGCCATTTGTCCGAAATGGTGTAGGGTTTCCTGCCTGAGCAGGGGGTTGGACTAGATGGCCTCCAAGGTCCCTTCCAACTTTATTATTATTATTATTATTATTATTATTATTATTATTATTATTATTATTATTATTATTATTATTATTATTATTATTATTATTATTATTATCTGCACAGACAATGGAACAACAAAAAGTACTGTATACCCACAAGCATTGTGAAATTAAACATATTAGAAACGTGCGCTTTCTCTTTTCTTTTTTTTCCATTTAACCAGACTGAGCCACAGCAACGTGTGGCCGGGTACATAAAAGATAAAAATGGAAAAAATTAAAATCATTTTCAACAAAGCTGCCTTCTTGCTATGTCCTGGAGAGACTTTAGACTGGATTCAGCCATTCCTTTCCTTCTTGGGAGATTGGCAAACGGGGGGGGGGGGGGGGGAAGCCCAACCTTTGTTTCAAAAGAAGAACAGGCAAAATACAAACACACACACACAACACACAAACACACACACACACACAACAAAGCATTTTATGTGTTTTGAGTTTCAAAAGACGAAGAAGGGAGATGCAATGAGACGCAGGACCGAAGTGTCTGGGCAGCGTTTGGCCTGGAAACCTGGAAATGGGTTGTGGTGAGTCTCGATTGATTTGAAATGGGATTTTTAAAATAATGGAATGAATGCTTCCCTCACCTGGAAAACGGTTTTTCTGGGGGAAAAAGTGGCAAGATGGAACACAAGAGGGAGCCAAAGATTAGAATTAAAAGAGAAGGACTCCCCTTTGAAATGTTAATATAGTATAAGGCAGGGTTCTTCAAACTTGGCCCTTTGTTGACTTGTGGACTTCAACTCCCAGAATTCCTCAGCCAGCATGCCTGGCTGAGGAATTCTGGGAGTTGAAGTCCACAAGTCATAAAAGGACCAAGTTTGAAGACACCCCCCCTGGACTTCAACTCCCAGAATTCCTCAGCCAGGCACGCTGGCTGAGGAATTCTGGGAGTTGAAGTCCACAAGTCATAAAAGGACCAAGTTTGAAGACACCCCCCCTGGACTTCAACTCCCAGAATTCCTCAGCCAGGCATGCTGGCTGAGGAATTCTGGGAGTTGAAGTCCACAAGTCATAAAAGGACCAAGTTTGAAGACCCCCCCCCGGACTTCAACTCCCAGAATTCCTCAGCCAGGCACGCTGGCTGAGGAATACTGGGAGTTGAAGTCCACAAGTCATCAAAGGGCCAAGTTTGAAGACCCCTGGTATAAGGGGTCCCTGACTTACCACAGTTCCTTTAGTGGCTGTTCGAAGTTACAACAGCGCTGAAAAAAGTGACTTATGACTGTTTTTCACACTTGCAGCATCTCCGGGGTCTTGTGATTTATATTCGGATGCTTGACAACCGACTCACATGTATGTCTGTCACAGTGTCCTGGTGTCACATGATCCCCTTTTTGCAACCTCCTGACCAGCAATATCCACTGGGGAAGCCAGATTCTCTTTACAACCAGGTTACTAATTTAACCACTGCAGTGATTCGTTTAACAACTGTGCCAAGAAAGGTCCAAAAACGGGGCAAAAACCCACTTCCCCAATTTCTCACTTAGTGACATAAATTCTGGGCTCCCTTGTGGTCGTTAAGTCGAGGACTCTCCCTAGAATGTCTGGTTAGAGATTTAATTTAATATTTATTTGTTATGTATATGTAGGGGTGTGGGTCTATACATACGTTGCACATAGTATGTTTAGGTAAGGTGACCAACTTTTTTATAATGAGAAGGAGGACACAAATCAATTGGAAGAAAAAAATATCGTAAATAAAACATTTTATTCATTGCAACAATACAGAATACACTATAATATGATAAATGCATAATAAAAAAAACATTTGTAACAATAACATTTTATATTGTAATTATGCTTACATGCCTATTAATTATTATTTAAATGAGTACAAAAGAAGGACTGTCCTCCCTAAAAGAGGATGATTGGTCACCTTAGTTTAGGTGTGTGTCATGTATGTGTTTCACTTTGAGAGCGGGCCACTAAATTTCATTTTTGATGTGTGCCGTTGTGCCCACACTAAACAAAATGACAATAAAGGTTATCTTATCTTATCTTATCTTATCTTATCTATCTTATCTTATCTTATCTTATCTTATCTTATCTTATCTATACATATGTTGTTCATAGTATGTTTAGGTGTGAGTCATGTATATGTTTCACTTTGACAGCGGGCAACTAAATTTCATTTTTGATGTGTGCCGTTGTGCCCACAGTATAAAAATGACAATAAAGGTTATCTTATCTTATCTTATCTTATCTTATCTTATCTTATCTTATCTTATCTTATCTTATCTATACATATGTTGTTCATAGTATGTTTAGGTGTGTGTCATGTATGTGTTTCACTTTGAGAGCAGGCAACTAAATTTAATTTTTGATGTGTGCCATTGTACCCACAGTATAAAAATGACAATAAAGGTTATCTTATCTATACATATGTTGTTCATTATATATTTAGGTGTGCATCATGTATGTGTTTCACTTTGAGAGCGGCCAACTAAATTTCATTTTTGATGTGTGCCGTTGTGCCCACATTATAAAAATGACAATAAAGGTGGCCTTATCTTATCTTATCTTATCTTATCTTATCTTATCTTATCTTATCTTATCTTATCTTATCTTATCTTATAATCTATACATATGTTGTTCATAGTATGTTTAGGTGTGTGTCATGTATGAGTTTCACTTTGAGAGCGGGCCACTAAATTTCATTTTTGATGTGTGCCGTAAAAAATGACAATAAAGGTTATCTTATCTTATCTTATCTTATCTTATCTATACATATGTTGTTCATAGTATGTTTAGGTGTGCGCCATGTATGTGTTTCACTTTGAGAGCGGCCCACTAAATTTCATTTTTGATGTGTGCCGTTGTGCCCACATTATAAAAATGACAATAAAGGTTGCCTTATCTTATCTTATCTTATCTTATCTTATCTTATCTTATCTTATGTTGTTCATAGTATGTTTAGGTGTGCATCATGTATGTGTTTCACTTTGAGAGCGGGCCACTAAATTTCATTTTTTGATGTGTGCCATTGTGCCCACAGTATAAAAATGACAATAAATATTATCTTATCTTACCTTATCTTATTCATACATATGTTGTTCATAGTATGTTTAGGTGTGTGTCCTGCATGGGTTTCACTTTGAGAGCGGGCCACTAAATTTCATTTTTGATGTGTGCTGTTGTGCCCACATTATAAAAATGACAATAAAGGTTATCTTATCTTATCTTATCTTATCTTATCTTATCTTATCTTATCTTATCTTATCTTATCTTATCTTATCTTATCTTAATTTAAGAGTGCAAAAAATGCCGAGCGCCACCAGGGGGCGCGAAAGACCCAGGCCGGCCCTAAGTCTCTCGGCTGCCCCCAGCGTCCACCTTGGGCATTGCAGCAGATGCTTTAATCCAAACCCAAAAAAAAAAGGCGCCTCTCTCTTTTTCTTTTCGAAGAAGAAACGGAGGGCTTGTCTACCCTTTCTAAGTCTCTGATCCAGACGGTCCCGCCCCCTCTGTCGCGGCTGCCCATTGGCCGAGCCGCACGGCCGTCAAAGTTCCCGTCGGCGCTCGCCCGCTATTCCCCGGGGCGTGGGAAGCATCTCGCGCGGCACCCGGGCATTCATCGTGCGCTGCGCTTGCAGATGCTGGGCGTCTTCGGGATTGGAGGTAGCTTTTTTTGGGGGGGGGGCGAGGGGCGCAGCGGGGCAGGTTGCTCCCCCTTTGGGGGGGGCGGCGGCGGCTTTGCAGCGAGGCTCGTGATCAGTTTTGCAAAATTGGGGGTGGGGGTGGGAGAGAAATCCTGGGGAGGGGGCGCTTTTTGCAAAAGAGAAGGGGGGTGCAAAAGAGAAGAGAGGTGCAAAAGAGAAGGGGGGGTGCAAAACAGAAGAGAGGTGCAAAACAGAAGGGGGGTGCAAAAGAGAAGAGGGGTGCAAAAGAGAAGGGGGGGTCCGAGAAGGGGGTGTCCCCACCCGGTTGCAACCCTCTTCTGAGTTTGCACCGTGCCAAAAAAAATCCAGCCTGCGCCTTGTCTAAAAAGCATTGCAAAACGGGGCGACGTCTTGCAACAACAAATTGGGGGGTGGGTGGGTGGGCTTCTTTGGTTTTTTTTGTGCAATGTGGGGGGGTCGATTTGCCCCCCCTGCCCGACTCATGGAGCCTCTTTCCACTGCTTTGGAAGAAGGCCCGGACTCCGTTGATGCGTTGGCTGGGGAGGGCAGGTTTTGTAGTCCTTAGGAGGGGGTGGGGGCGGATTGGTGGCTGTGGTTTATTATCCCTTAAGTAAGGGGTTTGTCCTCTGAAGTCTGGGGAGGGGGCGGGGGGGGCTACACGTGGGTTTCTGGGTGATCAGGGAGACAGGTTTTTTTTTTCACCCCAGGAGGTAGAAAAATTACAATTGGTTGTAATGTTCCTAGCTCCTTTGGGTAAAAAATTGCCTCCCTATAACCCAAGGGGTCTTCAAACTTTGACGACTTGTGGATTTCAACTCCCAGAATTCCTCAGCCAGGCACACGTGTGCCTGGCTGAGGAATTCTGGGAGTTGAAGTCCACAAGTCCTCAAAGGGCCAAGTTTGAAGACCCCTGCTCTAACACCTTCCTGATCATCCAGAAAAATTAAAATGAATTGCAAAATTAGGTTTCTTGGGCAGAAGCTGCAGAAAAGTGGAAACATTTTGACTCAATATATGGGTGGGTTGTGGCTTGTTTGTTTGTGGCCTTGGAAATCTGGAAGTTGCAATTGCAACAGTGTTGAGCGGACACAATGTTTTCTTCTTGCCTTTTTTCACAGTAATCCTTGGGCTTAATAATTATGTCTTTTATAAGGCAACCCTTGCCAGTTGGGTTTACCTGTGAGTGTCTGGGAAACTCATTTCTAAGAAGTCTGGCTTTTGAACCAAGGTGGCGGAGGAATATTGGAACATATTGTATCATACCAACAAGGACAAAAAAAAAAATATCAGAATACTGTTATTTGCTCTTCCACCGCACCCTGTGCGGTATTGTACAACAATTGATTTGAAATGCTTGGGGATGTGCCAGGCTCTCTGCCACTTTGTGTGTGTCGCTCCATTATGGTATATTGTGTATCGCTGTATTATTTGGTAATAGGTTCAGTCAAAATGTGCGATTGTGTATTGCACTAGCGCTGGGTTTTTTCCAAAAGTCTACAATTCCACTGTCTTTTATGAACTTCATTCTAACATTGTAAATTAGATTTTAGTTTAATTTGGGGGGGGGGGATAAGTATTGCTAAAAGTGGTTTTTTTTTAAAAAAAATATATGTTGTGGGTGGTTTTGGGCTACTTTAAAATAGGTGGCCATAGCTGAGTTTCAAATTTGAGGGAGTTTGATAAAAAGCCAACATTACGAAGAAAAGGGCCTAAGCTTAGAAAACAATGCCTGAGCAGAGGGGTTCCCATAATAATAATAATAATAATAATAATAATAATAATAATAATAATAATAATAATAATAATAATAATAATAATAATAATAATAATAATAATATGATGATGATGATGATGATGATGATGATGATGATGATGATGATAAAGTTGGAAGGGACCTTGGAGGTCATCTAGTCCAACCCCCTGCTCAGGCAGGAAACCCTATACCATTTCAGACAAATGGCTGTCCAGTCTCTTCTTAAAAACTTCCAGTGTTGGAGCATTCACCACTTCTGGAGGCAGGTTGTTCCACTGGTTAATTGTTCTCACTGTCAGGAATTTTCTCCTTAACTCCAGGTTGCTTCTCTCCTTGATGAGTTTCTATCCGTTGCTTCTTGTCCTGCCTTCAGGCGCTTTGGAGAATGGTTTGACTCCCTCTTCTTTGGGGCAGCCCCGAGATACTGGAAGGCTGCTATCATGTCCCCCCTCATCCTTTTCTTCATTAAACTAGACATCCCCAATTCCAGCAACTGTTCCTTATATGTTTTAGCCTCCAGTCCCCTGATCATCTTTGTTGCTCTTCTTTGCAGTCTTTCTAGAGTCTCAGCATCTTTTTGGACTAGAAGACCTCCAAGGTCCCTTCCAACTCTGTTGTTGTTATAAAACTAGCTGGGGTGTGCCACTTAGATATGAATCATTATTAGTTATATTTATATAGCAGCTTTTCTCCAGGAGCCCAATATATATTAACACCTCTCCTGCCGCTAATTTTTCTTCACATCTTGGCATTAATCCTTGTGATGTTGAATGGATAGAGAGTTCAACTAACAGAATAACAAGAGCTGGAAGGGACCTTGGAGGTCTTCTAGTCCAACCCCCTGCTCAAGTAGGATGCCCTATGCCATTCCGGACAAATGGCTGTCAGATGTACTGTAGTATGTATGTATGTATGTATGTATGTATGTATGTATGTATGTAACCGTCCATTTCCTCCAGCTAAGAATGACTTTTCTTAGACCTAGGCCGAAAACTTAACTACACACCCACTTTCCATTTAATGTGGCATAAATCATGTGTGGGCCCAAATTAATACAAGTAGACCTCAGCTTACAACCTCAACTGAGACTAACATTTCTATCGTTAAGCGAGACGTTTGTTAAATGAGCTTTGCCCCCTTTTACGACAGCCCTTGCCACAGTTAGGTCAGTCACTGCAGTTATAAAGTGAGTCACGAGGTTGTTAAGTGAGTCTGGATTCCCCTTTGACTTTGGTCGCCAAAGGGGATCGCGTGACTCCGGGGCGCTGCAACAGTCATAAGTACATGTCAGTGGCCAAGCGTCCAAATTTTGATCACGTGACCGCGGGGATGCTACAAGGGTCATAAGTGTGAAAAACGGTCATGAGTCTTTTTTTTCTCAGTGCCGTTGTAACTTCGAACGGTCACTGAACGGACTGTCGTAAGTCAGGGACTAGCTGTATTCCTTGCTGGAGCCAAACTGTATCAAATAAAACAGCTTTCCATGCTGGAAAACGTAATTCTGCTTCGTCAAGGAAGGAGGAGATAATTTTGATGGCTACCCAGGAACAATGACCGATAGGACAGCTGACCGTCAGAAGGTGGGGCAGGATGTTGACCTCCACCAAGGAGCCTTGAAAACCCATCTATTCCATGCGGCCGGCCTGGCGTAGTTTTGATTGTGTTTTGGTAGGGGTTTTTATAGGGGGTATTTTAGAGCAGGCTTTTTATTTAATATTTATTGTGATTTTTATTATTGCCTGTTCACCGCCCTGAGTCCTGTAAGGGAGATAGGGCGGTATATAAATTTAAATAATAATAATAATAATAATAATAATAATAATAATAATAATAATAATAATAATAATAATAATAATAATAATAATAATAGCAGCTGGGATTGCAACCTGCACCCCTATTCTGTTTCCTCTTGATGCAAAAAACATGCTTGGGAATATTGTTACGCTGAGGTGCCCTTCCCTTTTTCTGTTAAATAGTGGGTCTTGCAGGATTCAGCCTGGGACGGTCACCAAGGTGGGTCTTCACTGCTGCTCATGTTTGACAGCGTTATCCTGGTTTTACTCTTTACTTACTTATTTATTTTTTTTAGCTTTTGTCCTTGTAGTAGAGAACAGGAGTCCCAAAATTGCTTTTTCAGGAGGCAACTGGACTTCCTTTGTTTTTAATAATAATAATAATAGTAGTAGTAGTAGTAGTAGTAGTAGTAGTAGTAATAATAATAATAATAATAATAATAATAATAATAATAATAATAATAATAATAATAATAATAATAATAATAAAGTTGGAAGGGATCTTGGAGGTCATCTAGTCCAACCCCCTGCTCAGGCAGGAAACCCTAGACCATTTCGGAAAAATGGCTGTCCAGTCTCTTCTTAAAAACTTCCAGTGTTGGAGCATTCACTGCTTCTGGAGGCAGGTTGTTCCACTGGTTAATTGTTCTAACTGTCAGGAAGTTTCTCCTTAGTTCCAGGTTGCTTCTCTCCTTGATCAGTTTCCACCCGTTGCTTCTTGTCCTGCCTTCAGGGGCTTTGGAGAATAGCTTGACTCCCTCTTCTTTGGGGCAGCCCCTGAGATACTGGAAGGCTGCTATCATGTCCCCCCTCGTTCTTCTCTTCATTACACTAGACATCCCCAATTCCAGCAACCGTTCCTTATATGTTTTAGCCTCCAGTCCCCTGATCCTCTTTGTTGCTCTTCTCTGCCTTCTTTCTAGAGTCTCGACATTGTATCTCTTAAAATGAGGAATAAAATGATTGCATCAGCGGAACTGTCCTCTGTTAAATGTCTTTCATTATTGGTCAGAATGCTTTTATCATATTCAAGGGCCAACGTAAGGGGTCACACAAGCCAGCCAGCGTGTGCTGGCTCTTAAACTGCTCATTTCTCTTAAATCTGCTCTAGAAGGAAATTTGGGTTTTATGTGTGCTAAAGGAGAGGGGCAGACGTCAGAAAAAGGAAGTTAGCTGTTTTAAGTTTCCTGATGAATCAGTTTCTTGGCTGCTGTAGGAAGCTGATTGATATAAATCTAGAACTCCTTCCTTTTTTTGTTCCACGCTGTGCCTGTTTTGTTCTTTCCCACTGTTGTTGCTTTTGCTGATATAAATCTGTCTTCCCCCATTAATTTCGCTCGTCAGACGTTTGCAAAGGGGGAATCACGTGACCTGGGGACTCTGCAACCATCATAAGTACATGCCAGTAGCAAAGCGTCTGAATTTTGATCACATGACCGTGGGGAGGCTGCAAAAGCCGTGTGAAAAATGGACATAACTCCCTTTTTTTCCCCCCAGTGCCATTGTAACTTTGAACAGACAATTAATGAACTGTTGTAAGTTGGGAACTAACCGTAATGCCTTTGTCTTGCGTCGTTATTTACTGTCTGTCCCTGGGATTCGTTTGGAGATGCTAAATATAAATCATTTTAACTATTTTTCTTTGCAAGCAGTGCTGAGGGATGAAAAGGCCTTTTGGGGACCATGTTCTACCTTTGTTACCCATGAAGATGAAAAGACCAGCCTGTAATCTGAAAAGTGGTTTCAAGTAAGTGTCTCTGTCCAGGAGGATGAAAAATCACTATTTATCTTTTTGAGGATTTTCTTTTAAAAGCATTTCTTTATAAAACTGGGCCAAAACATTGAAAGGACCAGAATATCAGTCCTTTTACTTCATTCTTGAATTGTAGCAGATAGTGACTTAAAAAACTCAATTTTTTGGGGGGGTGGTGTAAAAGTTTTGTTGGTTTTTTTTACAATAACAGCCTTAGTGCCTGGCGTACAGCGTGTTGTCTTGGTTCACAATTTTTTTTTAGAAAAGAATATACAATTAATAATAGTTAACAAACAATCAATAATAATTAATTGTTATATTTCCATAATTAATATATCAATCTATAATATATTTCCTTGGATCTTCTCTCCACCCAGTAGTATTCTCCTTTTACAACATTCAACAAATACAATTTCTAATATTTGATATTTTCCATATTTAAATCTATATAAATAAAAATGTAAATGTTCGTTTGTTCAAAATCTTAAATCTCTGAAAGTTCTTCACCGATTGCTTTGAAATTTTGACACAACGTTGCATTCGAATACGCGCATGTTTTTATATACCTACTATTATATAGATGTCACCTGTGACAGGTAAAAACATGCTTTTTTTGAAAAACAGCGCCATCTGTTGGCTGAGTGAACGAGAGCCACAGCAACGCGTGGCCGGATACAGCTAGTGATTAAATAAAAACATTTTCTTCTATAATTATACCAACAATAGTAGCGTCCACGTATAGCATTTTTTCTTATCTAGCTTATGTTATTTTCGTAAGATTCATCTTATTGATTCACCATGTATCTTATTTTCATCAATCTTGTTTAAGCTCAATTTCTCCATAATATTCGAACAATTCTTGTCAATCATATTTTTCCCAGTATTTAACATCTAAATATCCAAATTTTCCATTTAAATATATCACCCCAGTATTTCCGACTTTCATATATTATAGAAATACTATACTACTTATCTAGCATAACATCTATCCATAACATCTTTCTTGTCAATTTATATTTCACTTCTGTTTGTAAAAATTAGTTAAATCACTATAGATCCTTTTTTTCAAGAGTTCTTATTAAGCCTAATTTCCCCTCAATATTTCAATCATTCCTTAATCCTAAATCTTTTCAAACTTAATTTGTCTTTAACATTCAAACTTTTCCTTCACTTACAACATCCTAATATTTTTACATTTTGTATCTTATCAAAAAAAAAAAGTATATTCTTATATCTCTTATCCCACTTATTCTAAAATCCCTTTATGGCCAAAGTTATTTGTTTATTTAGCTATATTCAAACTAGTGTTTACTCATATAATATTCCATCTGGTAGGGCGAATCCAGTCTCTTCAGCCTGTCTCTAATCTTTTTCCTTTGCCAAATTGTTTTCCAAATTAATATTTTCAACTTGTCCAGAGTTCTTGTATTTTTGTAGTTATTGTTAGGAGTAGAGGATACATAGTAGATAGGATGTATGCTTTTTGTCTCCCAAACAGTGATTCTCCTAGCAGTGTCCATTTTGTTAAGCCTTCTTTCTTCTCGGGTTTATTTTAATGTTCGAATGCATAAGGTATCTTTTCCATATTTATTGTTGTATCCACGTCTTGTAAATTTTTTCTTGTTTGTATTAAGTTATAATTCCCTTCATTTGTAACTTCACCGGTTGAATCATTTTTTTTTCTAGTTCACATTCTGTTGTCTGGATTGTTTGTTCATTCTGTGCCATCATTCTCTGGATGTTTTTTGATTGTAGATTTAAGTTCGAAGTATATTCACTTATAGTATCAAAGTTACGTTTAATCTCCTCGTGGTTTAAGTCTATTGTAGTCTTATCTGTCGTAGGAGTGTCTGGGAGGGGGTGTTGGTGAGGTGGGCTGCAAGACCTGAGAGCGGCACCATGGCAGACCTGTCTTTTGTGACACTAGCCACAAAATGATTCTTATGTAAAAGGAGCACTCGTCCTTGGATCATCCCTACGGAATTACAGAACAACAAGTTGACAGTATTGATCACTCCCCATGTATCTGATGCAGTGAGGATAGTCTTAGAAAAGATCTTTGATGAAGTGAAGGTGGTGGATGTTTTGGACGGTGGTGATTCAGCCCATCTTGCACTATTGAAAAGGCCAAAACATATAAGGAACGGCTGCTGGAATTGGGTATGTCTAGTTTAATGAAGAGAAGGACGAGGGGGGACAGGATAGCAGCCTTCCAATATCTCAGGGTTTGCCCCAAAGAAGAGGGAGTCAAGCTATTCTCCAAAGCGCCTGAAGGCAGAACAAGAATCAACGGATGGATATTAATCAAGCAGAAAACCAACCTAGAACTAAGGAGAAATTTCCTGACAGTTAGAACAATTAACCAGTGGAACAACCTGCCTCCAGAAGCGGTGAATGCTCCAACACTGGAAGTTTTTAAGAAGAGACTGGACAGCCATTTGTCTGAAATGGTATAGGGTTTCCTGCCTGAGCAGGGGGTTGTACTCGATGACTTCCAAGGTCCCTTCCAACTTTCTTCTTCTTCTTCTTCTTCTTCTTCTTCTTCTTCTTCTTCTTCTTCTTCTTCTTCTTCTTCTTCTTCTTCTTCTTCTTCTTCTTATTCTTCTTCTTATTATTATTNTTCTTCTTCTTCTTCTTCTTCTTCTTCTTCTTCTTCTTCTTCTTCTTCTTCTTCTTCTTCTTCTTCTTCTTCTTCTTCTTCTTCTTCTTCTTCTTCTTCTTCTTCTTCTTCTTATTATTATTATTATTATTATTATTATTATTATTATTATTATTATTATTATTATTATTATTATTATTATTATTATTATTATTATTAAAACTCCACTGCTGGGAACTAACACAGTATTCAAAATGTGTGTTTATGGATGCAGATACAATGGTCTTCTCAAACATCGGTGAACTTTTTTGAAAGAGAAGAACTTTCTGCAGCCCCAGATCCAGGCTGGCCTGACTGTTTCAATTCAGGAGTTTTTGTCTACAGGCCTTCCATTGAAACATTCAATCAACTGTTACAATGTGCCACAGAGAAAGGCACCTTCGATGGTGGGGACCATCAGTTGGGCAGCTATAGCTATTAGCAAGCCTCTCCCGTTTATTTATAACTTAAGCAGTATTTCTATTTACCCCTACCTCCCAGCGTTTGGGATAAATGCTAAAGCTGTGCACTTTCTGGGCAGAGTGAAACCACAGAATTTATACATATGACTCCAAAGCAAAAAGTGTCAAGGAAGATGCTCAAGATCTCACAGTGATTCATCCAGAGTTCCTCAAAATGTGGTGGGACACTTTTGGCACAAATATCTTGCCATTATTGCAGCAGGGTGGTGTAATCAAAGATACAGCTACTGGTGTAAAAGCGGAAGAGGTAATGTTGTGGCTCCGTCTTGTGAGCCCCTCTTATCGGAGGAAGAAGGCTCCGAACATGAAGGAGGGGAGATGGCCAGGCCTTCCTCTCCAGGACCCTCCTCTCTGGCAATGCCTCAGGTGTCTCCCGACGGAGAAGAGATTGACCAGGAGCCGGGTGTTTCTGAGATTGGCTAGGAGCCAGGTGTGTCAGATAATGAGGAAGAAAAGTTGTGGCTGGATCCACGCCAGCGTAGGAGCGACAAGCGTGCGCAGCAGAAAAGGAGACGTGCCAGAGATTAAGCTGAGTCACTGGACCACACCCCACAGGCTATAAAAGGGAGGTGGTGGCCATTTGGACCTCTGTGACGGACAAATCGACTTAGAGACCGCTTCATCAAACGACACCGAAATTTGACACACATAAGTTTTTTGTTTCTGTGTGCTTGGAGTAAAAGGTCTTGGCAGGCAGCTACGGAGCTGCTGCCAAGTTTCTTATCTGTGAAGTGGTGTCTGGAGAAGTCTTTAACCCTCGGCTGGCTGTTTGGGTGTGTGGGTCGGAACGGGGACAGAACAGGTAACAGAGGCAGTGTCCCACCTGTCCCTTTCAGCAGCAATGCCACTTTTGCCACCTCACTACCAGCTACATCCTCAGAAGAACGTTCTTACTACTCGCAAGGGGGAGACAACATGGGAGCAGACAGCTTTGACAACCTCAAGAAAAAAAACGTGACACCTACTTCCGGTAAAAGCACTTGTATTTGCTCCCCCAAATATCAGCAATAAAAGGACTTGTTTCAGAGCCGTAGCAACTAGACGTCAGCTAGGGTCAGTTAAGTTTGCCAGCAGCATCGCTGCTGCTCAACTGAAGGCTTTTGGTAATATTGCGGGTAAGAAATGAGCAAAAGCTGTTTCAAGTATGAGTTCTTGCGCCCGTCCTGTGTCCAGCAGTCAGATCTTTTTCTTTTGCTCAAAAAACTATGAATAAGCCCGCCAAGAATTTGAGAACAGGACACTGGACTGGCCTGAAACATACTACTCAGACCTAAAAGACTGTGCATTTACCTCTCCTTCCTTTCACACACATGCACACCAGTATCTGTTGTTGTTAATTGCGAAGTCGTATCTGACCCATTGCGACCCCATGGACAACGTTCCTCCAGGCCTTCCTGTCCTCTACCATCTTCTGGAGTCCTTTTAAGTTCACGCCTCCTGCTTCAGTGACTCCATCCAGCCCCCTCCTTCTCTGTCGTCCCCTTCTTCTTCTCTTGCCCTCCATCTTTCCCAGCATCAGGCTCTTCTCCAGGGAGTCCTTCCTTCTTCTCATTAGGTGGCCAAAGTTCTTGAGTTTCAACTTCAGGATCTGGCCTTCTCAAGAGCAGTCGGGGTTGATCTCCTCTAGGACTGACCGGTTGGATCGCCTTGCAGTCCAGGGGACTCGCAGGAGTCTTCTCCAGCACCAGAGTTAAAAGGTCTTAATTCTTTGGCGCTCAGCCTTTCTTATGGTCCAGCTTTCACATCCATACGTTGCAACTGGGAAAACCATGGCCTTGACTATATGCACTTTTGTTGGCAGGGTGATAATGTCTCTGCTTTTGAGTATGCTGTCTAGATTTGCCATGGCTTTCCTCCCCAGGAGCAAGCGTCTTCTAATTTCTTGGCTGCAGTCCCCATCTGCAGTGATCTTGGAGCCCAGGAAGATAAAATCTGTCACTACCTCCATTTCTTCCCCATCTATTTGCCAGGAATTGAGAGGGCCGGATGCCATGATTTTGGTTTTCTTAACGTTGAGTATCTGTCATAGTGTTGCATAAATTTCATCTTGGAAAGTATTTGTCTTGTCTTTTTGCTGAGGATGTCATATCCATGTTGTCTCCCCCTTTCAAGTATAAATCACGATTTCAAGTATAAATGCCATAGTCCAGTGATGGCGAACCTTTTAGGGACGGAGTGCCCAAAAACTGGCCCCACCCCTGCCCCGCCCTCGCTCCGCCTCACCCTGCCTGCGCGCAGGGCCACTCACCGCCTCCAGGGCCCGCCGCAGATCGCCCAGGCAGCCCAGCAGCACCATAGCGGCCACGCCCTCTGTCCACGCCCCGCAGCATCCACTGTGCGCATTGGGGCGTGAGGGCAGAGTCCTGTCTACGCTGCCTGGCTGCCATGTCCTTGGCTGCGCTGCTCCGCATGGGCCACGCTCAGGGGCAACTCTCCTCCAGGGGGGCTGCTGGTGAGGAGCGGGTCGCGGGCGGAGGCAAGGCTGGAGCAACGGCACATGTGCCCACAGAGAGGGCTCCGAGTGCCACCTCTGGCACCCGTGCCATAGGGTTCGCCACCACTGCCATAGTCTCTGTAATTAGTCTCTATAATTAGCCTTGTCAAGCTAACCAAAACTCAAAATCCATACAGTCCAATTTTGTCTAGTTCTCGGTTTTATATATATATATATATATTGTAATCCACTGTAGTTTTCAGTTGTCCAGGTTTCAGTAAAATCAATGTTTTATAACAATTCTTCCTTTCGGGAGTCAACTGTCAATTCAATATATTTAGCCAGCTTAAATCCTTCCTGTGGCTTCCCTTCTCAATAATTTATCGTAGATCAAAGTTTTTAAACAGTTCACGGGTCTGAAGTCGCCCCAGACCGGTGACTGCGAAGGAGGGGCGTCCCGTGGATCACGAAGCAACGGCAATCGCTCCGTTTGATCCTGGCAGGGCGAAATTAGTCTTAAAAAACTAAAATTCTGTTTCAGGCGTAAAGTAGTATTGTTTAGTTATTTAGAATAGTTATTTATTTATCTGATTTTTACCCTGCCTCTTATTGTTTAATAATAATAATAATAATAATAATAATAATAATAATAATAATAATAATAATAATAATAATAATAATAATAATAAAGTTGGAAGGGACCTTGGAGGTCATCTAGTCCAACCCCCTGCTCAGGCAGGAAACCCTACACCATTTCAGACAAATGGCTGTGCAGTCTCTTCTTAAAAACTTCCAGTGTTGGAGCATTCACCGCTTTGATGGCGCCCTCTGCGCGGTTTAACTGCACCCCACGGAGTGGGCTGGGCTGAGCGCAGGACCGAGTAGGGAGCGTGCATTGCGTGCTCTGGGGCCTCGATTGTAGGAACGGGATCAGTCCGTGAACGCCTCTCCTCTCTTTGCCCTTTTCAGACTCATCCTGATCGTTGTGACTGCTCTTTGCTTTCTTTACCTGATCAAGACAAAATACGTCACCAAAACATGCCGGACACGAAGGGCTCCTGAGATCGACCCTGATCACGCCAAGGTTAGCCCCAGTAATAAGCGATGCTGTAGGAAGGGGTCATGGAGCAGATACAGTACTGATTCTTCTTCCTCTTCCTCCTCCTCCTCCTCCTCTTCTTCTTCTTCTTCTTCTTCTTCTTCTTCTTCTTCTTCTTCTTCTTCTTCTTCTTCTTCTTCTTCTTCTTCCTCTTCTTCTCCTCCTCCTCCTTCCTTCCTTCCTTCCTTCTCTACCTCCTCTTTTCTCTTCTTCCTTCTCCTTCCTCCTCCTCCTCCTCCTCCTCCTCCTCCTCCTCCTCCTCCTCCTCCTTCTTCTTCTTCCTCTTCTTCTCCTCCTCCTCCTCCTCCTTTTTCTTCTCCTCCTCCCCCTCTTCTCCTCCTCTTCCTCCTCCTCTCCTTCTCCTCCTCCTCCTCCTCCTCCTCCTCCTCCTCCTCCTCCTCCTCCCTCCTCTCCCTCTTCTCCTCCTTCTTCGCCTCCTCCTCTTTCCTGCAATTCCCATTCCGTTTTACTCCTGATGATGTTACCTAGTTGGGTCATGAGACATCTGCAAGGAAAAAAACAAGTTCCGAGAGCACCAGGGACCCCACAGTTGTTGTCTTCCTCCCTCCTCCTCTTCTCCTTCTTCTCTTCCTCCCCCTCCTCCCCTCTTCTTCTCCTTCTCCTCCCCCCTCCTCTTCTTCTCCTTCTCCTCCTCCTCCTTCTCTCCTCCTCCTCCTCTTCTCCTCCTTCTCTCCTCCTCTTCTCCTCCTTCTCCCCCTCCTCCTCCTCCTCTTCTTCTCCTCCTCCTCCTCCTCCTCCTCTCCTCCTCCTCCTCTTCTTCTTCTCCTTTTTTATCTCCTTCTCCTCCTTGTCTTTTTTTGGGTTCCTTTTGCTGCAGAACAACAGGGACTCTTGTTGCATAAAAAGCCAGGCAAAAAGAAATAGAATTTCGCATTATTTTTCTGTTATTTTTGTTTAATTAATTTCTGAAAAGAGATACATAACTTTTACTCAGTGTCTTTTGAAATATCCTCAAATCTCATCGTCTGCCCTCGCCAGATTGCAATTAGAGGAACTGCTTTATAAAATGTTGCCTCTTTTTTTAAAAAAAAAAATGTTGGCAATCAAGGGACAATTCTTAAGCCCATGGACCATTCAAGTAATTCTGGAGAATACCATTTTTTTATTTTATTTTTACGGACGGGTTTTTTTTGGGAGCCGGGGGTGGCGGAGAAGACATACGTTAATTGCGTGAAAGATCGGACATCAAAGCAGAACAGATTAAAAAAAATAAATTGCATGCCCCATGACCAGGTTGTGTTGACTGCACATTCTTATCACAAAGACGGCTTCCTAACCGGCTGGCCCATGTTGCTGTTCTAGAGAGCTCAGAAATACGCCGAGGAGATTTCACGAGCCGAGTGTCGTCCATCTTTTGCGAGGAACAAGTTGAGCGAGTTGTATCTGGACAGCTACAACCTGGGTCTGCTTCCCTTTGTGACGAAAGATACTGAATCTCAACCCGATGTCTTCAGATACCCGCCTCCGTTTGGGTTCCGGAATTTGGGGGAGAAGCTCCGAGACTTAGTCCAGCTTCTACCCGAAGACGGTGTGCCAGCAGACCTGCAGTCTAAGCGGTGTAAACGTTGTGTAGTTGTGGGGAGCAGCAGCGTACTACGAGGATTGAAGCTGGGACCCTCCCTGAACCACTTTGATGTTGTGATAAGGTAGGGCTTGGGATGTGTGTGTTTTTTGTCTAAGGTCACAAATTAGCCTGCGTCGTTAATAAACAGGAGAGTTGGAAGGGACCTTGGAGGTCTTCTAGTCCAACCCCCTGCTCAGGCAGGAAAGCCTACACCATTTCGGACAAATGGCTGTCCAGTCTCTTCTTAAAAACCTCCATTCACTGCTTCTGGAGGCAGGTTGTTCCACTGGTTAATTGTTCTAACTGTCAGGAAGTTTCTCCTTGATTCCAGGTTGCTTCTCTCCTTGATTAGTTTCCACCCGTTGCTTCTTGTCCTGCCTTCAGGCGCTTTGGAGAACAGATTGACCCCTCTTCTTTGGGGCAGCCCCTGAGATACTGGAACACTGCTATCATGTTCCCCCTCGTCCTTCTCTTCCTTAAACTAGACATACCCAATTCCAGCAACCGTTCCTTATATGCTTTAGCCTCCAGTCCCCTGATCATCTTTGTTGCTCTTCTCTGTACTCTTTCTAGAGTCTCAACATCTTTTTTACATCGTGGTGACCAAAACCGGATGCCATATTCCAAGTGTGGCCTTACCAAGGCCTTGTAAAGTGGTATTAATACTTCACCTGATCTTGATTCTATGATGATGTCGTATCCCTCCCCTTCTGTTCAATTTGGATCTAGATGACATCTTGGACCCCTCTTTCAAACCAGCGGTCCTCTCTGTCCAAAATGTGGACTTTGCTATCTTCCAAAGAAGGGCTTCTGTCTTTTTTCAAATGCAGATGGACTGCTGAATCTTGTCCTGGTGGGTTTTGTGTTCCCACAACTTCTGGAGGCAGGTTGTTCCACTGGTTAATTGTTCTCACTGTCAGGAAGTTTCTCCTTAGTTCCAGGTTGCTTCTCTCCTTGATCAGTCTCCACCCATGATCCAATGTAAAATTCTGGCCATGCTCTCAATGAAAGATGTTCTGTTTCACAGCGAATCTTAATTTGATGCTTGCCTCCAGAAGCGGTGAATGCTCCAACACTGGAGGTTTTTAAAGAGAAACTGGACATCCATTTGTCTGAAATGTTGTAGGGTGTCCTGCCTGAGCAGGGGGTTGGACTAGATGACCTCCAAGGACTCTTCCAACTATGTTATTCTGTTATCCATGCATTTTTGGGGTATGATCCATGTGTTAGTTGTATGTTCAGTTCCACGGTACATTTTGTTTTGCAGGTTAAATAATGCACCCGTTCGGGGGTACACAAATGATGTCGGTAACAAAACAACAATAAGAATGACGTATCCCGAAGGAGCCCCTTTATCTCAAGATGAATATTTCCCAAATAGCTTGTTTGTGGCAGTATTATTTAAAACTGTTGATTTTGCATGGATAAAAGCAGTGGTGAAAAACGAAACATTAGTAAGTAAGGATGGTAAATATTGCATTTGTGTGTAATAAGAGATACCGGAATTGTATTGTTTGCGTGTTTACTACAGCCAGTTTCCATTTTGAATTTTTTTTTTTTTTAGCTGGCCCACTGCTAGCATTGCCTAAAGATTTTGGCTTTAGTGGAAGTGATATGCCTAATGTATTATTACTGTGTAGGTTATGTGGATGTCAAAATTAAATAAATTGCTATGAGCATTAAATATATTGGCACCCTTTAAGCCACCTTTAAGTAGTATACAGTGAAAAATTAGAAATAGACTAAAACTCAATCCAACCGAAACAAAATCTAACTATAGGAGATGAATTGAGTTCCTATTGAATATAGATGTTTTAGAAAAATATTTGTACTTCTCCTTAAAGGCTACGTATGCGTCCATAGGCACCCAATCCCAATTTTTACGTTATTTTTTTTCTCCTGTTGTATACTGCTTTGTAATTTGATTTTTATGACTTTTTTTCCCTTGTTTAAAAATGCCCAATAAGTTCCTTAATTCATTGCCTCCTCTGTGGATTGGGAGGAAATGGGAAGATGCCTTAAACTAGCATCTCATTTTAATTTGTCTCGAGTGCTCCTGTTAGTTAGTTAGTAAGTTTAGTTTAAGTTAGGTCAGTTAGTTTAGTTAGTTTAGTTAGTTAGGTTAGTTCATTAGTTTAGTTAGGTTAGTTAATTAATTGGTTTAATTAGGTTAGTTAGGTTAGTTCATTAGTTAATTAGGTTAGTTAGTTAGGTTATTTCATTAGTTGGTTCAGTTTAGTTCAGTTTAGTTAGGTTAGTTCATTAGCTTAGTTTGGTTAGTTAATTTAGTTAGTTCATTAGTTTAATTAGTTAGGTTAATTCATTAATTGGTTTAGTTAGGTTAGTTAGGTTCATTAATTAGGTTAGTTAGGTTAGTTCATTAGTTGGTTCAGTTAGTTTAGTTCAGCTAGGTTAGTCAATTTAGGTTAGTTCATTAGTTTACTTTGGTTTAGTTAGGTTAGTTCATTAGTTTAATTAGCTTAATTCATTAATTGGTTTAGTTAGTTTAGTTTAGTTAAGTTAGTTCATTAATTGGTTTAGTTAGATTAGTTAATTAGGTTAGTTCATTAGTTAATTAGGTTAGTTCATTAGGTTAGTTAGGTTAGTTCATTAGTTGGTTCAGTTAGGTTAGTTCATTAGTTTAGTTAGGTTACTTTGTTTGTTAGGTTAGTTAGATTAGTTAGTTAGGCCTTTTTCCCATCTCTGGCTGGAGATACCAAATTCAGCCATTTTGAAAATTTCGCTATGGCCTTACATTTTGGAAGGCCTAGTAACCCCTGGGAAAGGAGGGATTACAAATAAACCTCGCTTAACGACTCCCCAGCTTAATGACTACTACAAATTATGGTGGCGCTGAAAAGTAACTTTGCGACCAGTCCTCCATTTATGACCGATGCAGCTTATGACAGTCACACGATCGCCGTTACACACTTCACAGCCAACTCTGAGAAACCAAGAGTTGAAATTGCAGCGCTGAAATTGTGTCAGGTTTGGCCACACAATGTCTTGCTTAACGGCTTGCATGACTCTCTTAATGGGAAGTGCCAACGTAACTCCAGCACGGTCCTGGGGTCTTTTGATTCGCAATTGTGTCAGTTTAGTGATTAAGTCTCAGCAGTGGTCACTAAGCGAGACTATTATTCCCCCCCCCTAATTAAATACTTCATTGAAGTAATTGCTTCACATTAGGGCGGTTTTGAAACCTTGTCGTAATTTGTATGTTTTTGTGTGCTGTTGTTGTTCTCGTTGCTCAGCCGCTCTGGATGCACTTCTTCTTTTGGAAAAACGTGGCTATGAAAATACCTTTGGCACCCAGGAGGTTTCGGATTTTGAACCCGGCCATCGTTAAGGAGACAGCTTTGGATATTCTGCAGTACCCTGAACCTCGACTCTTGAATTGGGATCAGGTAGTGTACCCTTTGCGAAAGAAGGAAAATGTGTTATATTTCTCTCTGCTTTTGTCTGGGCCTCGTTGGTGACGTTCATTCACTTAAGTGTAAAATATAGGGAGTCCTTGACTTACAACAGTACACAACAGCACTATCTAACAAAATGAAATTCAGTGGTGAAAAAAGCAAGGTTGTACATTTAGGCAAGAAAAACCAAATGTACAGGTATAGTATAGGGGGTACCTTGCTCAATAGTAGTAACTGTGAGAGGGACTTCGGAGTCCTAGTGGACAATCCCCTAAATAGGAGCCAGCCGTGTGCTGCAGCTGCCAAAAAGGCCAACACAGTGCTGGGCTGCATTAACAGAGGGATAGAATCAAGATCACATGAAGTATTAATATCACTTTACAAGGCCTTGGTAAGGCCACACTTGGAATACTGCATCCAGTTTTGGTCACCACCATGTAAAAAAGATGTTGAGACTCTAGAAACAGTACAGAGAAGAGCAACAAATATGATCAGGGGGACTGGAGGCTAAAACATATAAGGAACGGTTGCTGGAATTGGGTAGGTCTAGTTGAATGAAGAGAAGGACGAGGGGGGACATGATAGCAGCCTTCCAATATCTCAGGGGCTGCCCCAAAGAAGAGGCAGTCAAGCTATTCTCCAAAGCGCCCGAAGGCAGGACAAGAAGCAACGGGTGGAAACTCATCAAGGAGAGAAGCAACCTAGAACTAAGGAGAAACTTCCTGACAGTGAGAACAATTAATCAGTGGAACAACCTGCCTCCAGAAGCGGTGAATGCTCCAACACTGGAGGTTTTTAAGAAGAGACTGGACAGCCATTTGTCCAAAATGGTATAGGGTTTCCTGCCTGAGCAGGGGGTTGGATTAGACGACCTTCAAGGTCCCTTCCAACTTTATTATTATTATTATTATTATTATTATTATTATTATTATTATTATTATTATTATTATTATTATTATTATTATTATTATTATTATTATTATTATTATTAAAAAAATATATGCTGAGTATTGTTATTTTGGGGAAAAAATGCACTCGGGTATCCCATTCAGATTGCGTTTCCAATTTTTGCTAGTTCCTCCCCACAAATCTCTCTTTGTCTCCTTTTTTGCCATTTAATGGTAGAATACTCTTTTCATAGAACATGGAATAATAGGGTAGGAAGGCACCATGGAGGTCTTCTAGTCCAGCCCAAATTTCAGGAGAAATAGCATTAACTGTGTGCGTGGGAAAGCTTTTCCACAGAGGTCCAATCTGAATCCACGCTTCTGTTTTACTTTCAAACTAAAAAAAGTCCAGCCTTTTTTTTTTAAAAGAAACTGCTTACAGTGAATTATATCTTAATTAATTTGTCCCAAAGGCGCTTTTTCCAAAGGGAACGGGACTCTCTTTGTTTTTCCTTGAAGAGGTCTCACTTCTCATCTGAGAAGCTTCTTCAGTTCTGACTGAATGGTGGAGAATGGAATCCACAACTCTCAGAGAGAGCGCCAACGATCCAATGACTGTTTAGGAACATAAATCCTTCCGTTCTCCACCGTTCAGTCAGAACTGAAGAAGCGTCTTAGACGAGAAGCGAAAAAACCAAGAAATTCCAGTGGCCTTTTGGAAAAGCGCCTTTGGGACAGCCACGACTTGGATGATGGAGAATCTGGACAGACTTGAACACTGGGTGCTATCTAACAAAATGAAATTCAATGGTGAAAAAATTAAAGTTCTACATTTAGGCAAGAAAAACCAAATGTACAGGTATAGTATAGGGGGTACCTTGCTCAATAGTAGTGACTGTGAGAGGGATCTCAAGAGTCCTAGTGGACAATCGCTTAAATAGGAGCCAGCCGTGTGTTGCAGCTGCCAAAAAAGCCAACACAGTGCTGGGCTGCATGAACAGAGGGAAAGAATCAAGATCACATGAAGGGTTAATACTAGTTTACAATGCCTTAGTAAGGCCACACTTGGAATCCTGCATCCAGTTTTGGTCACCACGATGTAAAAAAGATGTTGAGACTCTAGAAAGAGTTCAGAGAAGAGCAACAAAGATGATTAGGGGACTGGAGCCCAAAGCATATAAGGAAAGGCTGCTGGAATTGGGTATGTCTGGTTTAACGAAGAGAAGGACGAGGGGGGACATGATAGCAATATTCCAATATCTCAGGGGTTGCCCCAAAGAAGAGGGAGTCAAGCTATTCTCCAAAGCGCCTGAAGGCAAGAGAAGAAGCAACGGGTGGAAACTAATCAAGGAGAGAAGCAACCTGGAACTAAGGAGAAACTTCCTGACAGTTAGAACAATTAACCAGTGGAACAACCTGCCTCCAGAAGTGGTGAATGCTCCAACACTGGAAGTTTTTAAGAAGAGACTGGACAGCCATTTGTCCGAAATGGTGTAGGGTTTCCTGCCTGAGCAGGGGGTTGGACTAGATGACCTCCAAGGTCCCTTCCAACTTTATTATTATT